ATCTTGTTGTATCGGATGATGCAGAGACTGTTAAGCAGGGATGTGGCAAATCTTTTGCTCCATTTCCAAAAGGTGCACTCCGTATACTATCTGTCTTTTGTTTCCCTCCTTTTTCTAGTTGTTTCATATCTTTTTCCTGATGTTATGTCATGACAGTGCTCTAACTTTATAGAAATGCATTAATTGATTTAGTAGAATAACATAGGCATTGTCCTTACTGAACTCATGTGGTTAGATGACTTGTTATGAATTGACTCTGAATTTACAAGAAAGTAAAAGTCACATTTTATATTAAAACTAGAGAATTTAAATTATTTGATTTCTACTGAAAGTCTTATACATTGCTTTTATTCACCCTTCTTCTTTTTGTATCAAACATATTGGCCCTTACTCTCATCAATCAGAAACCTTTGGTGGACCTTCACCCCTCTGTTTTATGCACCAATTAATTACAATCACTTGTGATGGTTGAGAGAATTCAGAGATAGTGGACAAGGGTTTAATCTATGCAGTGGTTGCGTCCGTATGGAGATCACTGGTGGTTGTGTTTCTCCCTAGACCTATATTTATAATTCTATATTTCATAGCCCCAGTTTTCCTACCTCTCATCATCTTATGATCTCCCATTTTCCCACTTTCTAATATTTTAGTGAATAAAGGAAAAGTATAACAACGACGAGCAGCCTCTTTGTGCTATTGGTGATTAGTGTTGCTGAAATTTGGTTTGCGTATGCTGGATGTTTTTAAAAGTCCCTTAAATGGATGGTCTCACTTGGTGAGACTGCAATTGTGATTTTGATGTCTTGGAAATGACCTTTTAAATGTTAAATCTATGGTGGATTAAATTTCTAGTGTGTGGCAGGGGTTGGTTTTTATCTATCTTTGTGGTTTTAACCTGTTGTAGAATTTGGATATAATGATTCAACTGTTGAATGAAATATCTTGGACCTTGAAAGAAAGGTGAATAGGAAAGTTTAAATATTCATTAGGTATGGGAGAATAACATTTAAAAGAGTTTGCATATGTGTGGTATGCACAAGGGGTTAATGCTGATCTGAGACAGAAAGTTAGGTTAGATTTTAAAGAATGCAAAAACTTATAGGTCAAATAGTACATGAATACCTCTAGATCACATTACTGTAACATACTTTGGTTTCTCCTCAGTATCCATACTCCAAAGTGTTCAAACCTATATAAAGTATATTTATTGTATTTACAAACAATAGTGCTTTGTACAATATGTTACAGGTAATAATAAATAATTAGATCAATATTTCTGTCTCATCTATGTTTGCGTTAACCCCTTGACCACACCCTACAACTCTTTTTTATTTTATTCTTCCATTCATAATATCTACTTTCAAAGTACAACTGAAGTCCCTAAACCAATTAGTTTTACCCTTTGCGGTAATGAGTAAAGACTCTTTAAGAGTTAAGTTGATCCAATATTATATCCCACATAATAAATGTTCTTTTACGGTTTGATTTTTTTTGGGTTCCAAAATGAAGGATCCAATGTGAAAGCCTACTTTCAACTGGTATCTTAGAGTTAATGATTATGAAGCTTAACATAATGACTAGCACAAATAGTGTTAGAAATTTAATATTTAGCAAATAATATAAATAATGAGATTGATAATGATTTGCCCAATATTTACAAGAATTACTCACTCCATGCATAAAGTATAAAAGTATATAAAACAAAAGGAAGATTTTAATGAGGGGAAGAGTAAACCTTGATCTCCATCTCAGCATGACGCTTAATGAAATCTAAGAATAGAAGTAGAATGTAAACTGGGATGATGGTATGATCAAGTTCTTTAACGCCTCTGGTTCTGTTTACCAGAATTCTTTTTCTTAGGCATTCCAGAAAGGGTTGTTTTGATTACACCACCAAGGTTGTGTGACTCCTTTGTATACTCTCTTTTTCTCCCCCTTTGCTTCCCTTCAACTCTAAAGTCAAACTCCAACTTTCTTTCTATGATGATTAACCTTTTTCTTGAACTTCAGAAAGTTACATGATGAAACAATTAAGAGAGCAGAACACGAACCTTGATGGCTAAACATGCTGATATAGTCAAAATGTTAATGTAAAACATGTAATTAAATATCATAATTATATCCAATTATCAATATGGTACATGGAAACATTATATGAAATATACTAGAATATGTTGTTAATGAGTAGAGGAATTGGTCTCAAGTAGCTATTAATTGATTAAATTTCTTATCCTACCTCCTCCTTGTTACATTTCACTAGCATAGAGTATGTATGAAAATAGAAGCTGTTTGAAAATTATTTTTGTAGTTGTTTGGAGAGTAAAAAAAAACATTTTAAGTTACACAGAGGTTTTAGGATAGACTCCCTCCATCCCATAATACTTGGGATGTTGGGGTGGACACGTAGTTTAAGACAAGTTTATTGTATAAAAGATTTTCTTTTGTATTTTTATATTGCAAAAAAACAACAAATGGGGTGGGAGTGGGGTGAGGAGAGAGAAAATATTTTTTTTATTAGTGGATCCATTCCATATTTAGTAACGTGTCAATTATTTTGGGGCGGACAAAAATAGGAACTATGTCAAATATTATGGGACGGAGGGAGTATCTTTATATTTTTTTGGTGATGATTCTGATGAACATGTGAAGGCCAACTTACCTACCACATTCCATGAGAGTAACAAGGCTACTTTTTATGAACTTTTTCTTTTACTTTTGAGACCTATGCAAAAAGCTGTGAAGCTCCGTAAATTGTACAGGCATTTCTTTCTTATTTTAATTATTTTGGATATCGAGGGGAATTGTTGTTGAGTAAACTTTGAAGTTGTGAATGCCGCTTGAATTTTGAAGGCCTTGGTCTTTAGATTAAATTGGGATAGATGGTTCTCTTGTCTGCCTACTCTGAGTTTTTAAAAATTCCTGTTTTAATAAATTGTTTAAAATATTAATTTTCAAGTTATGTTGACTATTCTAGCCTTTGGATTGACTGTATTTAAACTAACCCCTGTTACTGCCAGGTTGCTTCTTTACAAGTTCCGGAGGATTGAGAAGTTACGAGCATCCACGTAACGAGTTAAAGCCAGTGCCCAGAGTTGACAGTTCTGGTGAAGTCTGTGGTGCTAACTTTAAGGTTGATGCAGAAACTAAGAAGGAATCACTTGGTATGTCAAGGGTTGGAAGTGCTGCAGACTGGTCCTCAAACTACTGATTGTCTACTGATCGCAGGGGTTTTTTGATCTGTAATAATATCTTAAGATCCCTTTACTGTGAATGACTTTATGACAAGGGGTTTTAAAACCATCTGTAATACCAGCTAGGATAGTTGCCTTTTATGCTGTGTCGAAACTGAAAGTCCTAGCAGTAGCATATATGAGGAAATAATTGTTACAGACTTGTTACCTTCGCTCGTAATAGAACAAGTTTCATTGAATCATGCTAGAGCTTGACCATGATTGTGCATGGTTTATCTATCATCAACATCTTTCATCAATATTGATTTCTTTACTTACCAACTAAAGCAGAGAAAGGGCGACGCGAAGTTATCTCTCCTCCTCCAAAACTCTCTGTTCTCTCTCCTCCTCCAAAGAAAACCTTCTGCTGGAAACCTAGGTGCTCGCCGGTGATCCGGCACCGCATCCGGCGAGGTTCCTCCCTTCTCTCTTCTTTTAATCTGCGAGGGTCGCCGGCGAGCGAGGCTCTGTCCTCCTTTATCGTTTCCTCTCCTCGTTCTGCTATGAGGCGGCTTCAAACTCAGAACCGCCGGAGCTCCGCCGCTTCGCCTTCTTCCCCCCTCCTCTTCTGATTTTATTCCTTTTGGAGGTGTTTGTGAGAGCCTATTCTAAGTTTCGAAGGTTCCGAGGGGAGTGTTTAGATCGTCCACCTCCGTCGCCGTTGCCCACCTTTGTGTGGAAGGTTTGTGTTCGTTCAAAGGGTCTCTCCGCCGGTGAAACAAGGCCTAAGGACTAGGCCTAACGCCGCTATCATAAAGGTCATCGATAATTTTGACTGTGACGGAAACGGTAAAGTTAGGGTTAGGGTTTCGTGGGTCCTTGCGCTGGAGGGCTAGGTCTAACGCCGACGTTAAGAGTAGTTAGTGACGGAAATGGTGAAGTTAGGGATAGGGTTTCGAGGTTCCTAGTGTAAGTGGTTTCGGGTTTTCGGTTTGGACGGTGCTCTCCTCTGGTTTGTTCCCTTTCTTAAGTATGTTTGTTCTTAGTATTTATCAGAGTTTACTTGCCTTAGTTTTTGTTACGGTATGTTTTAGCCCCCTTTGGTTGTTTTCCGGGCTATTTAGTTGTTTTGGCTATAGTTTTTTGGATGGTTGTGTGCAGTGGGAGTTAAGATCCTTTGTTAAGGACTGTGGTGTGGTTATTCTGGTAAGAGAGGTTACAGGTGCGGTTGTTGGCGGTTTGAACAAGAAATTGGCCTTGGCTAAGGTGAAGTGTGTACGTTGTTGGAGTGGTATGGGTTTGGTTTCTTTTCCCTCGGATGAAATGATTTTTTTGGTCATTACTCTTGATTCTTATTATCTGAAGCAGGCGCCCAAACTTTGTTTTGGAGTTTCTCGAGCCTCGACATTGTCAAAGCTTTTTTGCCAACAAGGAAAGTTATTGATTGGAAGGTCACTAGTTCAAGTGACCCGTTTGATGACCTTACTTGGTGATGAGTTGATCCCGCCAGGTAAGGATTTGCTAGCCATGGTCAAACAGTTTCGATCCTCTCCGTTGCTCTCTTCATGGAGTGTAGTATGTTTTTTCTCCTTGGTTTGTAAGGAGTCCCTAATCTGCGACTTATCCGGCCAATTCAAGTTTATTTTCGTCTTTAGTTTCAAAAGTTGTTGTAACGGCTTTAGTGTTAAAAGCCATATTTTAAGTTTTAGTTCTTGTTCTGTAGGTTGTAAACTCTGATTTTATGAATACATTTGCTCTTGTCAAAAAAAAAAAAAAAAAAAAAAAAACCACTAAAGCAGGGAAAGGAAAAAATAGCAGTGTGCAATTTGATTTACCCTTGAAAGATAACTGTTTTCATTAAAGCTGCAGCAAATTTTTACACGTTTGATTTAGTTTCTCGTTCCACATATAGCTGTGCGCCAAACAACTTTACAACAAAAACTAGTAAGATGGCTTCTTTTTTCCTTGAAGCTAATAAACTGGCCGTAGATAACTATGTCTTAAAGAGTTAAACCTAATTAATGGCAGTAGGAAAACGAGGCAACTTTTCCTTTGCTCTGTCTGGTATAGTGATATCAGATAAATTGATTTGATTGTCTACTAGCTTCAGTCCTTTGCATCTGCGATTCCACCTGGTGTAATCTGGAATACGTGCTGTTGTCAAGGTGATAACATATATTTATAGTACTGTGATGAATGAGCATTTGTGATGATGCAGAATGTATCAATAGTAAAAGGATATAGCTTCTGCCTCTGGCAGATTTGGGGCGTCAAACACCTTGCAGATACGCTGTTCACCTTTTCCCTTCCTGAACATCAACCTTATTGTTGATGCATGAGCTAAGACATGACCGCCTGCTGGCTTCTTTGGGTCCGTAACAAAAACTCCTCCTGCTGGGTCAGCAATAACTGCAGCAATATTTGACAAGTTAGCTTGGAGTTAAATGGTTTGATAAATAAATTATTTGAAAATTTCTTGATAATCCAAGTCAAGTTGGTTACAGATTTTTGAAAATTAGTTCATGAAAGATAGATTATTACCTTGATTAGTGAGGTATACAGCGATGTTGAACTCTTCAGCAATCTTCATCAAACGAGAGAGCATTTGGGCCAGTTTTTGCTGAAAATGCAATTTAATTTCATTCATGGTATGAATTAAGCAGAAAAAATAATGGGGAAATCATTGCATCATGAAGATCATTCCAGAATTCATTCACATTTAAGGTGTATCCTGGATAGTGCTCACTAAAGGAGACTGTTTCAAATCTTTCAACAAATTACCTGTCGCTCTGCAAGCTCTCCTCTTCCAGAGAAATCCACTCGGAATAATGCAATGACAGAATCTACAATCTAGGGAATTCAATGGAAAAATGATGTTAGCCAAAAATATTTGACAGGATTTTGCTGGTAATTTCTTTATGGTAAGTTGTGAGTTCTCACCAGTAATCGAAAGGGTTCCTCAGCCATTTTTGCTGCCAGACCAAGGAGGAGATTGTACTGATGTTCATACGTATATGCACGTGCATATATGATCTATAAAAATTGAAAGATATAAATTAAGTTGTCATATATGCTATAAAATTCAGACACAAAATCAAGTTGTCAGGTTGCTTTTTACGTTGTCTAGGACAGCAGCAGCATCCATCCCAAACCTTTCAGCAATTGGCACAATACGATCAGGTCGACTGTAGTGTAGTAAGTAAAGAGAAAACATATTTAATATGTACTTCATACGCAGAAATTTGATTTCGTTTCAGTAAACCAAAATAAATGCAATGACAAGAGAGGATACAAAGTTCCTTCAGTGTCGATGTAGGCAACCTTCCCATTCCCTCCTTTCATGCTGGTCGGAAGCTGCATTTAAACATTGCATAGTAAATAAAATTTACCAGTTTAACTTGAGACTTCTAATCTGAAAAAAGTCACAACACAAATTTACATCAAATCCACGCAAGGACTATATCCTTCATTAACAGAACACGTGAAACCATTTCTCACCCTCTTAAAAAAGCAACTGAGGTAATGCTAAGTTAAAATGTTCAATTGAAGTAGCATATAAACTTAAACCAGATTGCTAAGTTGCTAACAACCATATAGCTCAGAAAGAAGTCACAAGCACTTTTTCTTCTTCCATCACACTGCATTCCCAAATCCCAACAGAAATATAGTCTGAACCAGTGAATTTTTTCTTATTTAGTAAGCTGATCTACTTACTGCCTACAATAACCGTGTAAGATCATGAATCTGGCATAATATAAAAGGTTTACCTGTGTCGAGACGCATAGAGTATGTGCTAGCTGAGTTTTTCCAGAGCTGAGAATTATCATCAAGCCATTAGGTCAGAAAAAATATAGGTAACTGATCAACAATTTTGACATAATTAAATTTGCTTAAGCTAAGTATATAATCAACCACAAAGTGTAGCAAAATTTTGTCATTAAGCTATTGAAACCAAGCAAAGAAGTAACCATTTCAAAAGGCAACCAGATAAGCAAAAATTGGTTCAACATAATCAGAAACCTTGAAAATATTGCCACAACAGTAATGGTCCTCACCGGAATTCTCCAAATGTTTCTGTAATTGCTGATGTTTCGATTCCACCTTTTCCAATGAAGCATAATAAGAGTGTTAAACGTATAAATGAACTTTAATGCCAAGATTCTAATGATTTGAGTAAGAAACCAATGACTTATAATGATCAGAAGAGCATTATATCACCTCCTAATAGTTCATCTAATGACTGACTTCCAGTAGTTATGCGGATCACAGATTTTCTCTATTGCGAACGGCAATTATGATCGAGTTAGAAGTAGTAAAACAACTAAAACTACACAGTTTGAATTCTGAAATTTAAAATTTATAGAGAATGGGATGTTACTTTGAGCAAAGCATCACTTCCAGTAATGTAACCATAATTCTGGATAAATCAAAGCACAACATTACTATTTGATTGGCTTCAAAAATTAATCTGAGAGACTGAATGATTGACAATTCAGATTGCAGTGCACTTACCACTATTTTCTCAGCAGCTTCGCATATCTTATCAACTTTAGCTTCAGACAATCCCTTGATTCCAGTCAAATTCTTCACACACACAAAAAGTCAGAAAGATAAATTAAGAAGTTTCAAAGGAAATTGTAGAATACTGGATTCAAAATCAAGGTTCAAAAAAGTAATAATAAAATTGATGGAATACCTTCTTCGTCTGCATCATCAAGCCATTACAAGTGTATATTCCAGCATCTTGAAGCTTCTTAACATCTCCAGCATTGATTCCATGTGCAATCACTAGTGAAAAACAATATTTAAACGTTAAGTGTTATGCGCCAAAAATTGTGAAGTATTTGGATGAATTAAGCATTAGTCGCGATTATTTTTTGAATTTCCAACGAACTAAGCGTATCGGCGCAATAGTTATCATTCCAGCTTAACGATGATTAAACAATTAAAGAGTAGAACTCTGGACCTCTTAAGGATTTTTAATTTAAAAAAAAAAAAAAAAAAATTAAACGAAAAATTTGAGGAAGTTTCAAACAAACTAATTAAGTCAGCATTTGTTCGTAAATTTTTTTTTTCATAAAATTAAAATAAACTAAAACAGAGTGTTGATTCTACTTTTAAAATTTTTGCAACTGTAATCTTACGATTGTTTAATAAAAATTTATACACACAAAATTAAACGAATTAAGCGTTTTTAGCGCGAAAAAACAAAGTATTGTTTCAGCTTCACGACAAATTAACGATTGAACCGCATAATTTGAAGTTCTAAGGAATTCAAATTTGCACGCATTTCAAGAGAAAAATCGAATGACGTAAAATTTTGAAATTATACGAAACAGCTCGAAAAAAATACTACGTATTAAAAAGCATTTCATACTCAAGATTACCGAGCAATCAAAACTAGAAACATAAACTTTCAGATAACATCGGAGAAAATTCTATATGAACTAAGCGATTAACCAGGCTTCAACAAAATCTAACAATAACAGATAGAAAAACAGAGTATCAATTCTGTATTCCAAATTTATGCAACTGGAATTAAACTCTGGAATTCTTCGGCAATTTCTTATGAAATTCAAATTTCAAGCCAATTACAAGTAAAACGCTATAAATTTAGAAACAGAATCATACATTTATCAATAGCTTCGAACAAGTCCTCTTCATCTTCGATTTCTTCTCGTTCAACAAGCTGCAACTGCTGGCTCTGTTCTTCAGATCTGCGCGAAAATTCAAAAATTCATCAACATGTAAAAGATCTTCGTATCATTTTGCAGTGAATTTCCAGTTGCAAATTCTGGAAGAGAACTTACTTGAGTGCGTACATTTCTGGCATTATAAAGAGAAATTGAGAAAACTCCGACGATTTTTTGAAGAAAGTGTAGTTTTAGAGAGAGAGAAGGAGAGAGATTGAGCTATATAGAGAAAGAAATAGAAAAATTGAGGATTTTAGAGAGAGAAATTGTAATTAAGATTATTGGTTTCGCTCTTCGGTTCTCTAGAAGTCCTTTTTATAGATGATGATTAGGCGCGGAATGAAATGGAATTTGAAGTTTCTCTCGTATAAATTTTAGGCTAAAAAATCCTTTTTGTTTTTGATGACGTGTGAAGTGTAATAAATTTTAGATAGTCACTCCCTCTATTTCATGAGGAAATAGTAATAAATTACGGAGAATTGTTATGGATGAGGCGAATATATAATAACTTAATAAGGGGTAATTACGACATTTTAAATTATTTATATTTCTTAAATATTCTAAGTATAAAGTGTCGCCGTTAAACTAGTGAAAATAAAAAATATATGAGAGAATTGGGAATAGGGGCATGGTGATGGAAGTTCTTTTTACCGGTCTAAAGAAATGAGGAAAACAGAGAAAAGAAATTGAAGGTAGAGAGAAAATATACATAGTGTTCAGTTTTCAACGGGATAATTTTAGGGTTGTTAAACAACGCCCTCATTTTACCAGGTAACGCCCGCAATTAAACTTGAATGGACGAACGTACCCTCACGTGTATTCTATATTCTTCTTCCCTCTAACTCTATCTAACATTCTATTCTCCTAACATCTACCATCGACCGAGGGCAAGGTCATCGCCGGAGTTTAAGTCATGTTTTTTTTTTTTTTTTTTTTTAGGTGGAGGCCAAATGGCTAGTTTTTTCGAAAATCCAAGGAGAAAACGGTTACAAATTTCGAAATTCCAGGGGAGCTAGGCATTTCTTGCCATACATTTCAACTAGGCGTTTCTTCTCCAATTTTTTTGTAGTTGTTGTTTTCATATGTTTTTTTTATTCATATGTTTTTTTTTATTTATTTTTTTTTTATCCCAAACTCGAATTAAGACAAATAATATGTTGTTGGAAAGCTTTGGATGTCTACTTTCAACCCAATTGGAATTAGGTCAACATCATTTTTAGATTCTAAGATATTTTGGATAAAAAAAGTTGTGAATTCCTTATACCTACCATATTCCTTTATCTTTGCACCTCAGCCCCGGCCGGATCGACCTATAAGAAGTCTGATTCCATGAGGGTCAGTTCATCCATCCATTGAATTGGTTAACGCAAAAACCCGTGTCGGAAGATTGAACCTGTCCCCAGGCTAGCAAAAGCAGTAGTTGACTCGTATTAAAGAAGGTAAAATTGTCATGTCGACAAAGAGGCAAAGTAGAGTGCTCTTACAGCAAAAGTGTCATTTAAGGCCTAGGAAGGGAAGGATTTCAAAAAGGAAGGTTGAGGGCGAAGATGGGGATAACTCACCAAATTTCAAAGGTCTGGAAGCCAAACCTTCTTGCAATAATATTTGTAAAAAGACTAACCATGATAGTGCAAATTATTGGTTCAAAGGAAAACCACGAGAGTGCAAGAAGTTCGGTCATGTCGAAAAAAATTGTAGGTTCAAGAAGAGTAATGTTGCTAATTGTGGTACATAAGATCAAGAAGAATATTTATTTTGAAGAAGATTGTTATTCGGAGTTTGCTAGTAACAAAGAGCATTAGCAAGGATGGTTGGTGACATGGGTACCGACAACAAACAAAAATGTGAAGATATAAATATTTTGGAAGATGGTTGGTGACATGCGACAATATAGACACAAGTTTGGAGAAACAAATATTTGAGAAGATGATTGGGGACATGCATGTACATCAGTGAGATAGTTGATAATATGGGTACCAAAAAGAAAAGACGATAAAAAATAATGAAATGATGGTTGGTGATGCAAGCAAGGTTGTTGATGACAAGGGCATAAAAATATCTTGGAGTACAAGATTTTTCTAGATAAAAGGAGAATGATAAAATATAGTAATCTAGAAAAATCTAGAATTAGATAAAATTATCTAGAATAAGAAAAGAATTATCTAAGGTAAGAACATGTAACCGAATATTTTTTTTTTTTTTTTGAAACCATATGTAAATGACATATATATATATATATATATATATATATATATATATATATATATATATATATATATATATATATATACACTATCAGATGTTGTATGCAATATAAAAGCATCCTTATTCATGAATAAAAAAAAAGAAAAATTGTTCATGTTACTATTCACAAAAAAAAATAATAATTTCTCTCTCGTATACATAAACCACACAAATAATTTCCAACATCTTCCTCTTAACCATGAACCAAAAAAAAAATTGTTCATGTTTCTATTCACCTACCCCACCTCAATTTATCATTTAATAAAAATTAAAATACATACATAATTAACAATATATTAATTTCATGTGATATATAATTGATTCTTATTACCGTTATTATTATCGTGATTAGTAACGCTTAGTATTAGGAAATTACAATTAGCGTTATTTACGTGCAAAATTAGCTAAAATTATCGTAATTAGCGTTTTTAATTGTTTACGATTAGCATAATTAGCGTTATTAATTAATTCGTTAATTTAAATGCGGAATACAAATTTTTTATTAATTGCAAATTTGAAAAAAAAAACCACCCAAGTGCACTAGACATACACATACTTAACCGTTAACAGAATTGAAATCTAATTGTTATTGATCTCGTTACGCCTAAATTTCCTCCAAATGTGCTCAACCAAATCGTGTTTTAATTGCAAGTGAGCTTGTATCTTCAATCTCTGTTCTTCGTTGCAAGTATATGTTGATGTCTACCACACGCTCATTACGATACTCGAAAGCATCCTTGTTGGAACCACTTTGGCTGTCAATGAAGTGAAACGTGTCAAAGTTGTTCAAATACATATCTCGCTCATCTTCAACGATCATGTTGTGCAATATGATGCACGATAACATAATCTTGTGAAGTATTTGAACATCCCAAGCAAGAGACGGTTTTCTAATTATAGCAAATCGAGATTGTAGGACTCCAAAAGCTCTCTTAACATCTTTCCTCGCTGCTTCTTGATGTTGTGCAAACAATTTATAATCCTGAGTCTGCGGACTAGTGACAGACTTCACAAAAGTAGCCCACTTGGGATAAATACCATCAATAAGGTAATATCCCTTGTTGTATTGATGACCATTAACAACAAAGCTCACAGGAGGAGTACGCCCCTCCAACACATCCTCAAACACAACAGATCGGTGTAGCACGTTTAAGTCATATCCCGAAGAAAGAAGCCAAATCCACAAGTCTCGATCAGCAATAGCCTCTAGTATAAGAATGGCTACCCCTTTTCTGCCTTGATACTGTCCTTTCCATGCAGTCATACAATTTTTCCACTCCCAGTGCATACAATCAACGCTTCCGATAATGCCTGGAAATCCACGTTCCTCTCCGATTTGTAGCAGCATTTCCATATCATTACCATTTGGTCGTCTTAAGTACTGATCACCAAATTGGTTGATAACACCTTCTAGAAACTTTTCTAATGCTAACTTTGCAGTACTTTTGCTTATTCTTGTGTACTCGTCACAAGCATCGGCGGCTAAACCGTAAGACAGTTGCCTAATTGCTGCAGTGCACTTTTGTAGTGGAGACAAGCCTAGTCGCCTAGTAGCATCTCTCTTTTATTGGAACCATGTATCATTTTCCATTACTGCATACATAACACGTTCAAACACATGCTTGCGCATTTGAATCTACGTCAGAAAAGGTCACTTGGGTAAACTAGAACTTCTACAAGTAATCATTGTACAACCGCACATGACCTTCTTCACATCGTCTATCTGTAAGGATTTAGGTACTCTAAGCGGAATTTCATGAATCATATTCATACGCACCTAAAACAAGATCGCATGCATAACACACAAGAATCACATAATTATACCTTTGAAGCGTGATCTCCACGTAGCAAGTTGATTGAAAAGAATCACATATTATACCTGATCCGCGTCCGGATTCTCAGCTTCTTGTTCGACGGCCTGGGTTCAGGGGCCCTGGCCGAGCCGAACTCAGAAGACAACATTATGTCCAAAGCAGCAGCCTCGGCCGAGCTTTCTCCCCTAGAGCCCTGGCCGGCTTCAATAACAATGGTGCCCTCTGGCACCAAGGGTTTTTTACCCTTATCTTTCTTCCCCCTAGCGTCTGTTTGATTTCCTAAAGGAGGAGCGCTGCGAGGGGGCAGGTCGGACGGCTCATAAACATGAATCCCACTCCTAAGCCTGCCGACCTGGTGGTTTGGATTGAGGGTTGTTGGGGATTTTGGCCGGACGATCACCTTCGGCCGGACCTAGCGTCCGCCTGATTTGTTGAAGGATGCCTTTCAGAAGATGACAGCTCGGACGACATCGGGACCGAGCTGGTATATTGGGAAAGGCGTTGTACAGGATTTTGCCCGGACGCCTGCTTAGAAGAGGTCTGAGAAGTGTTTTGTTGAGCTTGTCGCTCAGAAATGGAGGCAGTCACCTCCACTACAGAACAAGCACTACCACCAACTGTGGCGCTCGTACTTTCCCCGTCCGTGTTACTTGGGTCAAAAGGGACTTGGGGATCCACCATATTGCCGTTTGGATATCTAGGGGCATCTCGCTCGTACTTTTGTCTCGTACGCGCCATGTTTGACAGTAGGGACAGAGAAGAATAGGTAGGGGTGAGTTGGTACGCACTACAAATGGACCAACTCTAAAGAGAGAAGGATTCGTCTCCGTCCACTCTAGACTCCTCAGTCCCAGGCGAACGACCAACCTCATGAGGAGAAACGGACGAAGTCGAATATTGTGCAAGTTTGTGTTTAAAAAATGAAACAAGTACAGAAAAGAAAAAAAAAAGCAGGTGATTACCTCTATACAAGTAGAAAACTTTGAAGACTTTGAAGATCTTCGAGGGTTGAGCGGAAAATTCAAAGAAACTCGAACGGAAAGTTTAAAGACACCGCGAAGCTCTTAAAGATTTGAGGAAATTAGTTTCTCTATCTTTAAAAAGCTCTGATATCTCTCTAAAAATCGCAAGTTTCCAAAGTGACAAGATAAAGTCAAACAAGTCTTATTTATAGGCAAATTTATGGGGGCAAAATGGAAAAACCGCTTTTCCCGCCTAGAAGCTCAAACGATTATTTTTTTGAAAATTAACCTAGAAGCCTAAACGGTTAATTTAACCTTTCCGTCAATATAGACGGGGAAGACGTACGGTTGCCTAAACGACGCATCAAAATAGACGGTCAGGTCAGCAACTTCAAGCCATTGGCCTGAGAAATATGGAAGACAGGTGTCCCACCTGATACCAGGCGGCACCATTCGTCCGACTTATTTCAAGACTTAAGTCCACAAATGTAATTAGGCGGACTGACTAAGGCAGTTAGCCCAAAAAGGAATCCATGAACAGAAGGTACAGTCCGCTTCCTTTTAATAACGATGCTCCATCAGCCCTATACTCAGACATCCCTAGACGACTGAAAATCAGAGGAGGCGGCCCGTAAGTTACGAGCCACCCCCTATGAAAGGCAAATGTTTAGGGTAAAAATACCCCCAACACGTGGCCCAATCCTATAGTAACACGTGACCCAATAGCAGGGCGACACGTGTCCTAATAGGAAGATGACACGTGTCAAACAAAAGAGCACCTGAATGAGAGAAAGGCCTCCTTACATCAGGAGGCCCAAATCCCGAGAAAAGCGGCTAAAATGGCGCCCCCAATGGACACTTGTCCAGTTGTCCCTACCTGATTGCGTCGCCAATTAGAGCACACCATTCTAGGTCACTAAACCCTAGATGGCACACATTCTCACCCCTATAAATACCCAATCATTTATGATGGGAGGGGTGGATAGAAACATCTCATTCATTGCATAAGCAATTTGCTCCAACTTTTCTACACTTTCTCTCTCTAAGATTACTTCGTTTTCCGCTCACTAACCTGATCGTCAGAGGCGAATATTCCGTCAAACAGAATATTTGTTGAAGGTCTCCAGGACCGTCTGGCTATATTCAAAACCTATATCTCGAGGGATTCCAAAAAACCCCCTAACAGTTTTCTTTCGGAGTTTGTTGTTAAAAAGTTTCACAACTCTTGGATGTTCATTAAGTTCTTGGCTCGAATTCTCATTATTACGATCATATCGCAATACTTTGAATATATTGCCAAGTAAATGTCTTGACTCAAACTTTCACCATTACATTCATATTGTTATGTATTTATTATCTTGTCAAGTTGATTTTGAATTATGGACTTTTTGAACTTTTCAAAACTTTAACATTTATGCTTCAATAAGCATAAGTGATCGTATCACAAATGAAGTTTCATTGTCCGTCTCTAGCCTTTGAACCTTAAGTTTTCTTACATCGATATGTATTTGACCTTGAGTTCATGTCATCATTTCTCTAAAGGATAACTTTGTAAATTGTCAAATTAGAATGATATTTACATATATCGATAGATTCATAATCTAATGGTAATGAAAGTCCATCCCTTTAGATCTTCCGTATGTAATGTGCATTTTCATTTGAATTAATTGACATTTTAGAGACAATTTATATATATAGAAATGGGTTATCTATATCTACCATATAGAACTTTAAACCTATTTAATTAGCTATTTAAAACACATTGTGACTCAATAAAGCATAGAATTACATTTACTCCATATTTTTGAATCTTCAATGCTTAGTCATTATTAACATTGATTGGTGTTTTGGTAATGGCAAGAATAAATAACATTTATTTAATTCTAGACAATTACTAGGTAAGGTGAAATGTAAGTTCTACTTGTAAAGTTACAACTTTTTGCTTCTAAACTTGTAGATTTTACTTGTGAAGTAGCAACATTTGCTTCTAAACTTGTAGATTTATTTCACCCTTAGCCATACTTCTTCCTTTAGTTTAACCACATTCTCAATGAGAGAATTAAACATGACATCGTATGTCCAAGAAGTAGTAATATGCTAAATTAGTTTCTACAATGTACTTCTTAAATTGGAATATTTCCATTCTTTTACCTTCCAACTATATGAGGTAGTTTCTAATCAATTGGAATTGGTCTATCTAATTGGAAACATTTTTCGTTCACAACAACTTTTAGCATAAGTAGGTTTAGGTTTGAGAAGTAGCAACTTGCTTGTATTTCTTAGCCTATAGCTTCTTAATACCGTCCTCATATATTCTTAAACCTTTCCCTTATGGGCCACTTAGAACATTTCTCTTAGGTTCAAAATAATACTTTACTTAACTTCTTTAAGCACTTTTCATGATTTTACTAAGTCTATCCAATCATTATTCATATAGTAGAGTTTAATCAACTATTTAATTCCATATGAAATGGATGAAGAATAATGTTATTTGATCAACTTTTGATCACAAGTACTTCCAATTACTTTCTTATGCTCAATCACATTGAAGATCAGAGATTTTATTGGAATTCCATACAAGTCTTATAGAGTGTTCGTACCTCTCATTTCATTATATCCCTTGAAACACTTTTCAAAATGAAGATGGTGTTGGCGTTTTACTCAAACATTTTGAGTTGAAGAAAACCAACTTAGACACGTGACATGGGTTTCTAAAACTTACCTTTTAGAACCATTTTAGCAAAATTTGAATAAAGGTTTACGGATTATCTTTGAACTTTTGAGAACGTTTCTCAACTTTATTTCAATCAAGAGAAAATATAATTATAAAACTAGAATATATATATATATATATATGTATATATGTATATATATGTATATGTATATATATGTATATGTATATATATGTATATACATATATGTATATATGTATATGTATATATATGTATATGTATATATATGTATATATGTATATATGTATATATATATGTATATATATATATATGTATATATGTATATATGTATATATATATATGTATGTATGTATGTATGTATGTATGTATGTATGTATGTATGTATGTATGTATATACACCCTCCGTTAATTTTATTTGCAACTTTAGGGCAAATTGCGGTTCACGAGGCAAAAGTTAAGGGGCAAATATTAGTGGGGTTAATTGAATGTGATTAAAGTGTTTGGAGAGAGAAAGGTTTGACCCACCACTAAGAAAAGTAGTGGGAAAACCTGTACAACTTTTGGAGGGATTGTATTTCCCCCCAAAATTTCAACGAAATTTTGTTCTAGGCTGAAATTTGGAGAAATTTCATTTCCCACCAAAATTTTCCAAAATTTTAAACTACAAAACAGTGTACTGTTTAAAATCTGCAGACTTATATAAGCACTGCATTTCATATTACAGAGGCAATTAAATACAACCTCTCCATTCAAACAACATATAATGGTTTCTTGTGCACCCAAAGAGCCAAAATTATCTACTCATTTGACAAATAAGCATTAAATAGTTTGCTCATTTGATAAATGAGCAAAGAGTTGTTTTAATTAGCAATTTTATAACCTGTATTTTTTTGTAAACATCAATGAAGAAAGATCAACTTTTAGCAAATGAGCAAATAGTTAGTTGCTCATTTGTCAAATGAACAAGTACTTAGTTGCTAATTTAACAAATGAACGAAAACTTAGTTGCTTATTTGTCAAATAAGCAATTAATTTCTTTGCTCATTTGTGAAATGAGCAACCATTTAATTTGTTTGCTCATTTGTCAAATAAGCAAATAATATTTTTTTTTTGAAGGAAATAAGCAAATAATTAGTTACTCATTTGTAAAACAAGCAAACATTTCTTTGATCATTTAATTTGGGAAATGGGCAATCAATTTTTTGCTCATTTAGCAAATGAGCAAATAGTTAGTTGCTTATTTGTCAAATGAGCAAATACTTATTTGTTAATTTAACAAACGAGCAAAAACTTAGTTGCTTATTTGTCAAATGAGCAAATAGTTAGTTGCTCATTTGTCAAATGAGCAAACATTTCTTTAATCATTCATTAAATCAACAAGCATTTCTTTGCTCATTTGTGAAATGAGTAAACATTAGTTTGATCATTTGTCAAATGAGCAAATAGTTAGTTACTCATTTGTAAAATAAGCAAACATTTCTTTGATCATTTGGGAAATGAACAATCAATTTTTTGCTAATCATTCATTAAATCAACAAGCATTTCTTTGCTCATTTGTGAAATGAGTAAACATTATTTTGGTCATTTGTCAAATGAGCAAGTAGTTAGTTACTCATTTGTAAAATAAGCAAACATTTCTTTGATCATTTGGGAAATGAGCAATCAATTTTTTGCTCATTTAGCAAATGAGCAAATAGTTAGTTGCTCATTTGTAACAGATATATGTCCTTTCCAATGGTAACATATGTAATCTACAAACAGCACAAGGAGACAAATTAATGAAGCACATAAGATACGATGAGAAAGTTTATACTTTAAATTAATAAAGTGTCCATTACCGATGTGATGCCAAGCAACTTTTTTTGTTCCACAATATGTTTCTTCAAATCAGATTCAATCTCCTCAATCTTTTCACTGGCAGAATCATATTCGACATCAGCTCCTTCAAGAGGAATTATACGGCCTGTACTATTAGCATCCACCCAATCGAACACATCCCTAAATTGCTTTATAATGGAACTCATATTGGGGAGACCTTTTCCTGCAAATTACATGCTATGAATATCAGCACGACATATAAAATGATCAAAATACAGTAGCGTCAACATGACAGTTAAGACAGTACCAGGAACTAAAATATGGTGCTTTCCTTAAGGTATCACCATTGCCACACTTTGGACAGAAGATTCGACCAACTTCAGCGGTTACATGCTGGCAGGCATGACATTTTAGCACCCACCTAGACAATTACCCCAATATCAAAACTTCTGAGAGTCGTTAAAAAATCACTATGAACTACACTACAAGGGATTAAAACTCATTCAAGTATGAAGGTTGCCCACCCCACCCATACTGACAAAATTATTAGTAGGTGATAGTGCTGATAGTTGGTGTTTGACCATTCCTCCAGCAGGACAATGTACATATGTTATAATCAAGTCTCATTAAAACTTCAGATTATGTTGCTATATTATATGACTATTAAGTACCCTAAGCGGGAACATGGAGATGTTGTTATTAAGGAGTTACATTACCTGTGCAACGTATCTGCATTCCTCCAGGGGCTAGCAAACGTAAACCCATTTGAAGAATAACATTTTGGCATAGCAAAGTCTCTAGTGATACAAGCAACACTTGAATTAGATAAAGACCTAAGCATCCAGCTCTATTCACTTCCATCATCCTCTGCATATGAGGTATCAACACTTCTATTCTCCACATGATCTAATACTGATCTATGGAGCTAAATAAAGGCATAGAGGAAACAATGGTGACTAATAAAAGTATACAAAAAATTGAAAAAAGGGTATCAATTTAATGTATACATGTATGATCAAGTACTAGAATTTGTTACCTGTCGAATATGGACTGGCCTCTCACCCATTGCAGAACAAATGGTGGCTAGCTCCGCCTCAGAATCAGCAATAGCATGCAATAGCGGAGCTCTGCAGTAGTTAGCCTGATCAACTTTTCTCCCGTATACCTTAAGGCACTCTTGCTCCAGCTCAAGTAACATCTTATCACGAGTGGTTTCAGATTCACCAACCTCATCCCATATAATCTGAACACAATAAAATAACAAACAACTTCAATTGCCTATATATACCATAACGATACAACTGTCAACATTGCATCAAAATATTCACAAATTACACCTGAAGTTCATATAATAGAGATCCATAGGTCGTTTCCACTTGTGGTTGGGAACCTTCAGTAATCAAATTCAAATATAGTTTTATAACTAAATTCTCTAAAGCTGTAAAAAAAATCAACTATTTATGCCATTCGGAATCTCAATTACACATATATCAGTAGTCATCCATAATTTTAATCGGACTAAAACTCAGGATTCAATATAACTAGAAACAATATTTGCTTGACTAATAATTCTATTAACTTTATAAAAATCATCATCTCTATAATTTAAACCAAGTGCAACTAGCACACAATCACATAACCGCACAACACCATAAAAGACAGGAAGGGATGAAACAACAGGGAAGTAGAAGGGACGCAGCAACATAGCGACATGTAGTAGTAGATAGGGGGAAAAAACTAAAAATAAAAGGTCGAGAGATTATCTTACCTCATGAATTACTTCAATGGATTAGAAGAGGAACTCAGAAATTACTTAAATGGAGAAGTTGGAGTTCCTGCAAGTAACAATTAGAATAATCCTCAAAATCCAAACAATTCAAAGAACAAGAACACAAACTTAATACAATTAACCAGAAAAATTAAACACAATTGAAGAAATTAAGCCCAAAAATCAAACAAAAATCAAGGTAAAAACACAAGTAAAAAATAATTACTCAAATAAAACTAAAATCAACTTAATAATTATTCAAATAAACCAAAAATCAAACTAAAATCAACGTAATAGCACAAATTAATAGAAATCAGGTAAATACCTAGTAATAGGTGAAGATTCAAGCCGAAATTCAAAGATAACAAAAGTAAAGCAAAAAATAAAACTAAAATCAACTTAATTACTACTGAAAAAACGAAAATCAAACCAAATCAACGAAAAACACAAAGTAAAACATAAGCGAAACTCACCTTGACGAAGAATTGATGAAGTTTGAAGAAGAATCAGAGAAAATAGCAAAGAGAACTGAGAAATTGAAGTAGGAGAGAGAAAATAACTTGCAAAATGAAGGAGGAGAGTGAAAACGCTATTTTTTTTGAAATTATGTTTGACTGGGATAAATGGTAGCCATTGGATGCAATTGATCCAATGGTTGTAATATGTCCTCACATATACCAGGTTTTCACATAAGGGATGTGGTCTCATATGATCCTATTTCTATATATATATCTTACTTAATAAAACCAAAATTCAACTATGTTTATCTTTCAAGCACCTAAATTAAACTCATATGTAACTTTAACGCTTTACAATATTAAATGGTCACAATTGAATTAAGTGATTCCTAGATCCTTTATTCGTGTAATAATTTACCGAACTTTGGCCCTACCATCAACCATTACATTTTTAAGGTGAGTAAACTCTATACTGATTGCAACTCTTGCAACTCTTGGTTGAATAATTAACCATCTCATGTTCAATTATTACCCTTTGCTTCAAGATTCTACACTCTTTAGGTAATCTTGTTGAGCACAATCAATTAAAATTGTAAAACTTGATTCCCAAGTTAGCTAAGATATAAAAATGACACCCAACTTTGGCATGACCTATCATTAATTATGGAAGGGTTGTTGGTACGTTTTAATTGGAAAAACAATCTCAATATTACCGGGACCTAGATTTTATTATGTTGTGATTAATTTAGTGAACTCTAACGCATCATCAACAACATAAATAAAAACTTAGCATGCATAATCTACTAATGCATAAAATAAAACATGAAATAGTATAACCCCTTAGTCCTGAGAAACTAATCTTGAAATGCTCTCACTTGAACCTTCATGGATCTCCATCCACCTTGCTCCTTTGGGCCTTCACTTCATGGGGTTCTTTGGACTAAACTATTTAAATAACTAATCTATTTACTTTAAATGAAAAGTTACAAAGATACTCAATGGTATGCAGACCGTATTTAGATTACAAAAATACATCACGATGCGTAGATCGTATTTAGAATCTATGGGCCATACTATTCTATATATAGCATAATAATATCATATATTATAAAAGGTGCCATATAATAGATCACTCAACATGCTTGCCTAAACTAAAATATCGAAAATTCTTAAATTAAGGCAACGCAATTCCTAAAATATCTCATATTTTTAATTTGTAATTAGATAATATCATATATTATTCATTACCATCTATAAAATATAATATATTTTAAATTTGGCATGATCGATAGAATCAAATCTTATTTTAATATGGAAAAATAAATCATATGTATTTTCTATGATTATCTTAACTAACTTAGGAGATTCTATCCTAATTACTAGCCAATTAAATAGTTTTAAAATCAATTATATCCAAAATTAATTATAGGATAATCACATTATTTAAATCAATTATTTAAAATTAATTTGGAATATGCTAAAAAATTCCTAACAAATCCTATTTAAAATTAATAACTTTAATTATGGATGATAACCAAATAACGACTTTTGAAATTTGATTTTATTTTAAAAATATTTTTAAAATAATTTTTTTTTTTTTGAAAATAGCCAAGCACCAGCCACGTGGTGTGGCCACCCAAAGCCGGCCACGGTGGCTGCACACCTGATGGTGTACGCTACCAAAGCAGCGGTGCAACAGTAGCACTAACGGCCATTGGCCACCTTGCGTGGCCAGCCGAAGCTGACCATGGTGGTTGGTACCTTACGATGCCCACTACCTTGCGGCAGCAGTGTCCGTGGCAGCAACATGCAACCCTTTCCATGGCTGCTCCCCTGCCATGGACCGTCGCCCCCCCTCCCTCCCCTCCCTCCTGGACTAACACCCTGGTTGGCAGCCACCGTGGCTCCGCCACCCAGTCGTGGCTACCGGCCACTTTAAATATATATATTTTTTTTGTGTTTATAATTTAATTAAACAACTTTTGTAAAATTAAATTAAAATTGTCCAAGAATAAAATTAAATTCCCAATTCAATTTTAAATTAGGGTTCATCATAAAATTAATTCCAATTTAATTTTAACTCTTAAAATGAAATTATTGATCATACATAAAACATTTTTATACATAAATCAACCTAATTAAAATTATCAAGCGTGAATCAAAACAAAAACTCAAGCACAAAATCAAAATTTAGGGTTAGGGTTTTCGAAAAATTCGAAAATTAGGGTTAGGGTGTTTGAAATTTTCGAGCATAATAGGGAAATAATCGGTCCTCTTTATGGCTTATATTGAGCAAATTAAATCATATGTAATCAATTCCAAGAGTTAAATCACATTTAATATAATGATTAAACTGTAATTAAATTAATTTTTCCTCTTAATTAATTATAAAATTATGAACATGGACTTCAAATAATCGTATAATTATAATGAAGCGTGTTCATACAAGAGGCTAACTAATACCACTAAAGGGATTTAGGTTCTCTAAGCGGAATTTCATGAATCATATTCATACGCACCTAAAACAAGATCGCATGCATAACACACAAGAATCACATAGTTTTACCTTTGAAGCGTGATCTCCACGTAGCAAGTTGATTGACAATTAGGGAGAGAATAGAGCCCTAAGTGTTGCTCCTTTACTTAGTCCACGAGATTCGAATGAGCTGTCCACTAATACTAGATTGGTTGAGTGAAGGAGAAACACCACGATCACCACCTTTATGGACAACTGGCCACCACAACGAACACCACCACAACCATCACGGACGGACACTGACGCAAGGAGGGGAGAGAGATGTGTGAGAGAGAGAGGTTAGGGTTTGTGTTTACTAATTAGGGTTTTGATCAATAGATCACTAAATTGTGTGTTCAACCCTAGGCACTTAGTCTATTTATAATCTTATTATAATTAGACTAGGAAGCAAAGCCCAAATCCTCTAAACTCCTCCATATGGCCGGCCACCTAGAGAGAGAAGGCCTATCATGGGCCTCTTCCTCTTATGCTAATCTAGGCTCTTTGTGTGACCTTATAGGGTCCGTTTAGTTGGGCTTTACATTATTTTACTAGCCCAAAAATTGTCAATACCTCTAGCTATGATATAACGTTGACCCAAAAGAACGAAATTAATTATCTCCATAATTTGATCCATTATATATCTAGTAATTACACTTGACAAAGACATAAATCCTTCACTAACACCGTGAGGAACATCTTTGCGCGAACGCCGGCTAGAGGGGTTGCCATTGTGGCTAAGATTGGGAGGTAAGTGGAGGTGACTGTGTCAATCATGTAATCTATTTCCCTTTTTTCTCGATATAGCGCTCCCCTTCTATCATCATCCGAGCTATTAGTGGAGCTTATATTAATTTTGTAGGAATCCATTTTCTCTGTTTGTTATTTGAAAGAGTAAAAGTTGTTAGTTTTAGAATAAGATTATCGTTTTGATGAAGAGAGATTGCACTTTCGTAGCATAAAAATGATGTGAATGCACAAGTGCATCACATAAAAATTAAATATAATTTTATGTAGATTTGCCAACTCAATGGATTCCGGTAATTTGATTGTTGGTTGTGTTTATGTACGTAGAGATTAAAGCAGTTGTCTCTACATTATCCCAAAATTTTTTATCGGGCTCTTCAGTGGGTTTAGCAGTGGGATAAGGTGCAGATTGGAAGGTCGGCTTTGTTAGGAGTTGGTGAAATTCATTTGGGTGCATGGAACATCCAAATCCTCCTCCTCATCATCGTCTTCTTCATCGTCATCAACTGCATAATCTTTGTCTGTGCTCCCGCCTCCTCCGAGTGTTAACTGACGAGAACTATTTAAACCACTCCCTGGACCATATTCACATTCGCCGTAATTTTGTTGGTAAATTGGTTCAGTTGAGAATTTTGATTGACTTGGTTGTAGACCTAGCAAACGGGTCATTTGGGTTGGGTTTGGGTCCATTCAATTTTGGGTCAGCAAATATTTGGGTCGGGTTCGGATCGATTCGGGTCAATTCGGGTTTCTGGTTAAGTTCGATAGGGTCAAGTCGGGTCGGTCAATTTTTAGGACCAATTTTCGGGTCAATTTCGGGTCCAGTCTATTCAGGTTGGGTCAATTCGGGTCGGGGCAATTTCGGTCGAGTCAGTTTGGGTAGGGTCACCAAAATTAATTCGCTTAAAAAAAATAGTTGGAAAAATAAAGTAAAATCGTTAAGAAAATAAAAAAATCGTGAGTACCTATTACTTAGGAAACAAAGAAGCCCTAAAATAAGTAATTCACCATTTCACCCTATTCACTTCAGGAATCGGGTCACTTCGGGTCGGGTCAATTCTGGTCGAGTCACTTCTGGTAGGGTCGATTCGGGTCAATCAATTCAGGTTTAAATCGGGTCGAGTCACTTCGGGTCGGGTCAAGTTCGGGTTTTGAGTCAATTTCGAGTCGGGTCATTTCGGGCATCGGGTCATGTTCAGGTTAACTCCATTCGGGGTTGGGTTTAGGTCGGGTCGAGTTAGGTCGGGTTCAGGTCATTTTCGGGTCAACTTTTGGGTCACGGGTCGGGTCATTCGGGTCGGGTCGGTGATCGGCGGACAATGGGTCGTTAGTTTACTATCCTAGATCAAAATTAAAATTTATAACTCCTATCCTAGCTCTATCAAATTTTACTTTAGATAGCGGTAAGTTAGGGTCGATTCCCAAGGAAACGCGGGTTTAGCACAATTAATACGAAATCGAGGAGAAATTGCTAGTAACAAAAGAGGGTATTTGTATTTGTGTTTGAAGAATTCTATGGACAAACCAACTACTATTGAGCCTAGAATAAACTAGAAATAAGGGAAATAGATTAAACACTTTTAAAAACAAATAAATGGACAAGATTAGAGGGATACCAATGACAAAAGCACTAGGAAGAGGGGGATTCAATCATGAACAAAGAGTACTAATGAAAACAAAAGGGAAACCGATTCTAGGAGTATAAACTCTACCTAAAATAGTTCATTCTCATGCAACTACTCAAGCAAGTCGATGAAATCATTCACACCTTGATTAAATCATTCTCATGCATTCAATCAAGGGCTAGATTCTTGGGATTAGAGGTGCACACACTAACTCCAAGCATATTATAGCTCAAATCATCAACTCAAGAATAAATCCCAATCAATAATCAATAGATATTCAAATACAC